TCTTTCGAAAAATGGGCATTTTTATTCCACGATTACTTAATTAGTAACAGGAATGATGCAAGGGCATAAGAGGATATTAGAGATTTAAAAGATTCGAATTGAAAATAGCCGTTGCAGTACTTAGGCTGACGATCTAACTTCTCATTACCAGATGCTTCTCTCCGTAGCCTACTAGCCGTTGCCACTTGCCAAGCCCACTAGCTGATTCGTCCATAGAAAGGCTTTGGCTTGTGCACGCACAAGAAAATACTCAATTCATGGTCGTTTTGGGCAGGTTAGCTAGGTTCATTGGAATAGGATTCACCAAAATTGGGGGCTCCAATTTTTTTAATAATAGTATTAGGGGGACAATTCATGTTCACCCGTCCTAAAGGGAACCGCCACCCGGTCGAGGTCGTTTGAGGCGTTATTGTTGGAATTTTTTGATTAAATTTTGTAAGCATGTTCTTCATCGAGCCTAGCTTATGCTCACTAAATTTCAACCAAAAATTCAACTCGGAAGGCAGTCAGATGTGTAATTTAAAAATACTGAGTTGTTTATATATATAAAGCACAATGTCCTTAAATAATTTATTTAGTTGTTTACGCGGTTGAATTTTTAGCTGAAATTTGTTGGGATACAAACTAGACTTGATGAAGAACATTCTTCAGAAGATTTCATCGAAAAAATCCACTAGGAGGAATCCCAAATGACGTCGGCCGAACGGAAGTTCCTCTCAGGCCGGCTGGACAAGAACACTACTCATAGTATTAGTATGTAGTTATGTTATATATATTGAGTACAAGGACTTGATTGATGATTTTGCTTCAAATATGTCAAGGCTGACAGATTTATTCAAGAGATAGCATTATAAATATATGTGCTTATTTTAAATTATGTCTTTTTTCTACTTGAACATAATTAATTTTGTTGATTTTTGTGAGTTCGATATTATATGTGATTTTATTTTTATTCATGCACGGGGCCTCAATTTTGCATTTGGAACTGGAGCCTCCAAATTCATTAGATGACCCTGCTCACTTCGCACCCTTAACTCTAAAAAGTTCCAAAGCACCTCTTGAACACGACAAAAAAGATCAAATATTATTTTTTGCAAGTAAATGTCCGGTCACCACCATGTCACCAGTTAGATGTCAACTGTGCATCCCAGGTGGCAATTCAAGAGGTCAAACAGGCCCCTGAAACTGACAGAATTGTTCCATTTGATCGCTCAACCGTTAAAAAGTGTAATAACTGCAAAAAAAATAAAAAATATAAAATATAAATATAAAATAAGATACAAGTCGAAAGTATAAAATATAGACATCCAATTAAATTAAATAATATAATAAGGATATATTTATATTCGCGGTAAAAGCATATAAAATAAACCAAAATAAATTCATTAAAACTATTTTCATATCTTAAATCTATTTTTTAAAAATAAACAAACATGTTTTTACAAATTAAAATTAAATTTGTATTTTGTGTATTGTATGTAATAATTGGTAATATAAAACATATTTTAGGTTTTCTATTTTACAATTTATATTATGTTTATATTTTAGATTTGTATTTTCAGTTGATATTTTTTAATTATTTTTAATCTGTTAGATGTATATATTTTACATATTTTAGATTTATATGAAAAAATTACACACACACGCACATGCATATATGTGTATATATTTCGTATTACTTTATTCTAGAATTATATAATATACTTCATACTAATTATATACACCATAAAACAATAATACTATATAAAAAGTATTATGAAAATAGCTATTACATTTTTATATTATGTATTTAAAATTAATTTATTTTCATTATATTTTGTATATATTTAATTTACCACAGAATATAAATAGTTTCTTATTATTTTATAAATAGACGCCTATATTTCATATTAAGAACATGTATATTATTTTATATTTTTATTTTCTATTTTTTAATAGCAATTTTGACACTTTTAACGGTTGAAGGGGTAAACTGAACAACGTTGTCAGATTCAGGGGCCTATTTGACCCCCTTAAATTGCCACATGGGGTGCACGGTTGGCAATTCATGTTACCTTTCAAGAAAAATGTTAATGACAGCTGTCAATCATCATCACTATGTGGCTGTCGATTGGGAAAAAGATGGTTGCCTACTACGGTTAATTGTGGTGACCGACTCTCAAAACAACTGTCTCTTTGCGACTCGCGACTCACACGAATTGGGTTGAAGTGTTGGACCCAGGCTTGGGTTGAGTACTTGAGTCCCCGCCATTTGACTATGTGGCTACGCTCATGATGACAATGGGTGCTAGGGCTAAACAAGAGCTATTTATACACAAATAATTCATATATGTGCTCATAGGCGTTAGTTTTCATGACAAACGTGCAAGTCATGTTGGGCTTGCAAATCAAGCTTTGTGTATGGAGTGTATGTTTGCATAGATAATAAATATAACTTTATGTGGCTAAATTATAGATTTTTCAAATAGATTTTTATCGCACACACATTCTTTATGCTGCTCAAAGGAAATAGTTGACTGTGTGGTCATTTTCAATTGTCTGTGTGAGCAATTATGATCGTCTGTTTGAATAGACGATGTAATTGTCTTTAGGCGCAAACCAGTGGTGTAGTTGTGTGTGTGACCGTTTTACATGTATTTTGAAAAAAGCAAAAGATAATAAAAAATGATTGAAAGAGAGAAAGAGAGCTGGAGTTTAAAAAGAAAAGAATTGTTGGGTTAATGACCCGGTCGTTGGCCGGCCCATTACCCCTTAGCAAGTGAAGCACCAGAGCCCAATCGGCGTGGTCCATCAAAGTACTAGGAGGACTAGCGTCAGATGTCACGCCCCGGACCTACCCGGACACGTCAACAACCCGCCGTACAATACGAATAGTCAACCGCAGTCCAACACATTCATATTATACAAGGCGTCATGAATATCATTCACACATATAACATCCATAAACAAACATAATAAGTAATTCATAACGCAGCGGAAAACATTGTTTAAAACAAAAGGCCACACCGGGCTATTCATGAGCACGCAGGCTCTATAGTAAAATATCCATGAGCAAATTTATTAATGTTTCAAATAGAATGGAGGAAGCACGAACCAAGTCTTCTCTCCGAGGAATCACTCGATCGACGAGCACAGGATGCAAGCTCTAGCCTCAACCTGAAATGGTGGTGGGACGCCCCCGAAGGGGTCAGTACTCTATACGGCTATAAAGTACTGGTGTGGCAGGCATCTAATAGATATACAACAAGTATTTCAAACACAAGACCCTCAAGTAGGGTGATAGTACATTATGATTGTAACCCTAAGTTACCCCGTTTAAAAATATACTTACTTTATATAAAAGTCAAGTAGTCGGCCCGTGGGCCCGTTTTCATTTGGAAATCACCATTCCCAACCCCGTGGCTATAAGCCACGACAACTCCTAGAGTCCAACCCTAGTACATGACCTTGTATTCTAGAGCTCGGCTCTACTACATCACCATACAATTCATATACCCCGGGTCAATTTCCTTACCTTGCGTTCTAGAGCTCGGCTCTATTACATCACCACGCAAGTCCTAGAGCTCGGCTCTAGCTATACAATACATAGACTCCAAGTCTACACCTTACATGCATTCTAGAGCTCGGCTCTATTACATCACCATGCATTAAGGTCCAATTCTCAAGCAACCCTATGCCTAGAATTGACATATCATTAAACTACTTTGGGTCATCCTTAAAGACTTCCCATAACTTAACCTTAGTTCCAAACTAAGTTATTATATACACTTGAACTATATTCAAGTACCTTTCATACAATCCAATCCCTAGGATCAATTTAATCAACAAGTTCCAATAATCACTAACTAGTATTTCAATACTATTAAGATTATTGTTATCATACCATTATCCTCATTATTTGTAATTCTCTACATATTTATAATTATGTAGCAGCAACTTAAGTATTCAATCTCAATACACAAATATTCATTTATGTATCCACATAATTCATACATGAGCAAAATGCCCATTTTCACAAAATAGTTCATTTATACCCATTTAATCTCATATTATTCATACCTTCTCAAATCATTTCAAATTTCATTCCTTGGCAACTATATCAATATTTCATCAATATATAATCATCATAATCCATGAAAAATCATGATTTAAGCATTTAGGTAATCTCATGCTTAACCTACAAGTTGTAAGCAATTAGATGTCAATCCTCACCTCAATTGAGCTTTAAACTTTCCCTTCTTGGTCCAATGGTCAAAGCTTTGGTCAAGGTGGATTTGGAACTGATTCCTTGCTCAAATATGAGTGTTAAACAGCCTCCTCAAAGTGCTAGTTCAACCCTTAATCGTTGATACGAAAACAGCCCCTAGAACGGGTGTTTCCCGGTCAACTCGTTTCCTAGTTTTTCCAAGATTTGTTCTAGGTTAGTATCTAACCTTTACATCAATAAAATAACTTTATAAGGACATATTATACACTTGGATTAGTGTATGATAGTCCCACCAATCGTTCATATCATTTGGAAAATGAAAAGTAAAGTTTTGGGGCTAAAACTCACTTTTAGAAGATCAAATCCTCTCCTGCGAGGTTGTGTTTTGCTCGGACGATTTGGAAGCCTTCCACAACTCCGATTCCTGCAAACCAGACCTTCACGGATTCCTCGTCTTGAGAGCTTTCTGTGGGTATCTCACACGCCTTAATTGGATTTGTAAAACTCGAGATATCGACCAAACAGTCTCAGCACTCCCACAGCTCGAGTTCACAGACCACTGCTCGTTCCAGATCGATTTTTGGATGATTGCTCTCTCTACTCGAACAAAGGCCACTCAATTATGAAACTACACTTCAAAGGCTATCCAAGGACACCTTATACACCTCATTTGGACGAGTACAACTCTCAAAATGAAGGGAGACAAAACACACCCATGATTTGTGCGGAAATAGACAAGGTGGGTCTCAAGGTTGATTCCAATCAAGTCTTGTGCAGCCCTCCTCCAGCTTGTGCGGCCAAGGTAAGTCTCCTCACTTATTTTTCTTGTTTTGCAGGTACTATAATCATGTGGAGTGGTTCCCAATTGATCCCAATTAATTTGGGGTCCAAATTATCTACCAATACTTCCAAAAATGGGGGAAATGGGTCCTATTGTTTTATCTTTGTCAAAAGATGTCTTTTTGCACTCATCCTAATTTATTTAGAACAAGTCAACTTCCTAAATCACATTATTGATCTCCAATATGCGTAGGATCATCCCAATAATTTACATGATGAAAATTATAAAAGAATACGGGTTTGAACAATACAATATTCAATCGCGTACTTCGTAAAATATTAATCGTTTCTTCCATTGCTTTGAAATCGGAAATTCAATACATCACTTTTGAATTTTTAAATCGAATTTTCAAGGACGTTCGGGTGCGGTGTCACAAGTTCACCCCCCCTTAACAGGAATTTCGTCCCCGAAATTCACAGCTCTACTCGAATAGGAAAGCATACTGCTTCCTCATCAAAGCCTCCGTTTCCCATGTCTCTTCCTCGACCCGATCGCTCTTCCACAGGACTTTAACCATTGGGACTTCTTTGCTCCTCAGCTTCTTCACCTTTCTATCGGTGACTTTGATAGGTTGAACAGCGTAGTTCAAATCCTCACGTACCTCTACGGGTGGCTTCTCCAATACGTGAGAGGGATCATGCACATACTTCTTAAGCATGGATACATGAAACACATTATGTATCTTCTCCAACTCAGGAGTCAACTGTAGACGATATGCAACAGCCCCAATCCTCTCTATAATTCTGAATGGACCTATATATCGTGGGTTAAGTTTTCCTCGGGTTTGGAACCGAATGATCCCTTTCCAAGGAGAAACTTTCAAGAATACCTCGTCATCAACCTTAAACTCTAAGGTTCTTCGACGCTTATCTGCATAACTCTTTTGTCTATCCTGAGCCGCCTTGAGTCTCTCTCGAATCAACTTCACCTTTGATTTGGTGACCTCCACCAACTCAGTACCCTCGAGTTTGGCCATGCCAACCTCGTCCCAGCATAACGGTGTACGGCACCTCCTCCCATACAATGCCTCGTATGGAGGCATGCCGATGCTTGCCTGATAACTGTTGTTATAGGCAAACTCCACAAGTGCTAAGTGGTTGTCCCAACTCCCCTGGAACTCCAATGCACAAGCCCTCAGCATGTCTTCTAGGATCTGTATAACCCTTTCAGACTGCCCATCCGTCTGTGGATGGAAAGCAGTACTGAACTTCAACCTCGTGCCCATAGACTCCTGAAATTTTGGCCAAAAACGTGATGTGAATCGTGGGTCTCTATCAGATACAATGGTCACTGGGACCCCATGCAGCCTCACGATCTCGTCCGTATACAATTTGGCTAACCTCTCAAGTGGGTAAGTAGTGTTGATAGGCAAGAAGTGTGCACTCTTCGTGAGCCTATCTACCACAACCCAAACTGCATCATAGTTCCTGATTGTTCGTGGTAAACCTACCACAAAATCCATAGTCACGTGTTCCCACTTCCATTCAGGAATAGAAAGTGGTTGCAATAAGCCTGCTGGATGCTGATGTTCTGCCTTAACTTGTTGACAAGTAAGGCATCGACTGATATATTCGGCTATTTCTCTCTTCATACCCGACCACCAGTAACTCTCCTTCAAGTCGCGGTACATCTTCGTGCCCCCCGGGTGCATGGCATAAGCCGATGAATGAGCTTCCTCTAAGATGGACTTTCGGAGCTCATCATCTGCCGGTACACACACTCGGTCACGAAATAACAAGAGACCATCATCTCTTTCCCTGAAATCCTCCACCGGTCCCGCTTGCATGCGTTCCCGGACCTTCATCAGTTCTGCGTCAGTCTCTTGACCCTTCTTGATCTCATCAAGTAAGGTCGGTCTCACTTCGAATCGTGCCAATAAAGCACCGTCGTTAGATACATCCAATTGGGCCCTCAGTGCTCTCAAACAAGTCAACAATGCCCCAGACGAATTCTTCCGACTAAGGGCATCTGCTACAACGTTTGCCTTTCCTGGATGATACTCAATAACTAGATGGTAGTCCTTTATCAACTCCATCCACCGTCTCTGTCTCATGTTTAACTCTTTCTGAGTAAACACGTACTTCAAGCTCTTATGATCAGTATATATATGACATGTCTCTCCGTAGAGATAATGTCTCCAAATCTTCAGTGCAAACACCACTGCCCCCAGCTCCAAATCATGAGTAGGATAATTCACCTCATGCTTCTTCAATTGTCGTGAAGCATAGGCAATTACCCTCCCGTTCTGCATCAGTACACATCCAAGCCCTTGGATGCTCGCATCGCTATAGACATCGTACCCCACACCTTGTTTGGGTAATGCAAGTACCGGTGCCTCAGTCAATCTCTTCTTTAGTTCCATGAATCCCTTCTCACATTTGTCATCCCATACAAACTTGGCTCCCTTTCGAGTGAGCTTCGTCAATGGCGATGCCAAAACAGAGAACTTCTCCACGAACTTTCTGTAGTAGCCTGCCAATCCAAGGAAACTACGAATTTCCTTGACGTTCTTTGGCCTCTCCCATTCAGTAATGGCTTCTATCTTCTTGTTATCAACAGCAATTCCCGATCCTGAAACCACGTGCCCAAGGAAGCCAATCTCCTTTAGCCAAAATTCACATTTAGAAAATTTGGCATAGAGTTGCTTCTCCCGTAGTGTCTCAAGAACAAGTATCAAGTGCTCTTCGTGCTCTTCTTCACTCTTTGAGTAAATCAAGATGTCATCAATGAACACAATCACGAATCGATCCAAGTATTTATGGAATACTCGGTTCATCAAGTCCATGAATGCCGCTGGGGCGTTTGTTAACCCAAACGACATAACCAGGAACTCAAAATGCCCATACCTTGTGCGGAAAGCACTCTTTGGTATGTCGTCTTCCTTAATCTTCAATTGATGGTACCCCGATCTCAAGTCAATCTTCGAAAACACGGTTGCTCCTCGTAGTTGATCAAACAAGTCATCAATCCTAGGCAACGGATACCTATTCTTGATTGTGACCTTGTTCAGTTGACGATAGTCAATGCACATTCGAAGTGTCCCGTCTTTCTTTTTCACAAAAAGAACTGGTGCTCCCCACGGGGAGTGGCTTGGTCTAATGAAACCGTTATCCAAAAGCTCTTGCAATTGGGTTTTCAACTCGTTAAGTTCAGCGGGTGCCATACGGTATGGCGGTATGGAGATTGGTTTGGTACCAGGCTCAACCTCGATCACAAATTCAATCTCCCTATCAGGTGGAAGCCCCGGTAGGTCTTTAGGGAAGACATCCGGATACTTACAAACCACCCTCACATCATCGATGTTCGTTTCCTCTTTGGTTTTGTCAACCACGTATGCTAGATATGCGTGGCATCCCTTCCTCATCATATTTCTCGCTCTCACGGCGGATATGATACAACTATTTGATTTGCCGCGGTCCCCCTCGAAGCGTAGGGTGTCCCCATGTGTGCCTTCGAGTTCCAACACCTTTGTGTAGCAATCTACCCTAGCATGATGCTTTTCTAGCCAATCCATCCCTAGGATTGCATCGAACTCCATCATACTCAGCGGTACGAAATCACACGTCAAGGTTTGGCCACCGATTTCCACTATACAAGATGGATAGTAATTGTTTCTTTCAACGTCTTCCCCTAGTGGGGTTGATACCACTAAGGTTTGTGTCATTGGTATTGATTGCATCTCTAAGCTCTCGGCAAACGCCTCACTCACGAATGAACGTTGCGCTCCGGTATCGATAAGGATTCGTGCATCCTTCCCGTTAATCTTTAGTGTCCCTACATTCATGAACCATGTAAGACATCTTTCCTATCCTCCCTACTCCTTTATAGAAGGTTGCAATGTTCACACGCACGTTAGGGATCAAGAAGAGGCCTTAACGTCGCAAAACGATGCGAAAAAAAAATCGGGGTTTCGGCAATCTGGGTGCCAGGCACGGCGTGCCCGGGGTAGGCACGATCGTGCCTGGCTCAGGAAAAACGCCCTGGGGCTACTGCCTTGGAGGCACGATCGTGTCTGCCTTAGGCACGATCGTGCCTGGGTTGGAAAAATCCTGGGAACCACTGACTTGGAGGCACGATCGTGTCTGCCTTAGGCACGATCGTGCCTGGTTTGGAGAAAAACCCTGGGCAGCTACTGCCTTGTAGGCACGATCGTGTCTGCCTTAGGCACGATCGTGCCTGGGCTGGGAATATTCCTGGGCAGCTACTGACTTGGAGGCACGATCGTGTCTGCCTTAGGCACGATCGTGCCTGGGTCCCAGCCGCCTGAAGTTGCCCGAAATCCCCCGGTTCGACCCCAAAACCTCGTGCAGTGATCCTAGCGATTAGTATCCTCAATTTATGGACTAATTAAGGATAAAACACTAGTATATGAGAGGCAATACCTGCAACGGAGTCCGGGTTAGCTTGAGCATCCGCCTCCGTCATCGCATAGACCCTAGCCTGGGTCCTCCCTTGGTTCACGGATGGCGCGTTGCTCGCACTTGCTCCCCCATGTCCCCGGCTTGCTTGAGAAGCCCCGGGTTGATTCCGCGTACCCGTCGGGCCACTACTTGGTCCCGATGTCCTTGCCCCACTCAATTGTGGACAATGTGCCTTCAAATGCCCGGCATCCCCGCATTGAAAACATCTAGGGGGGTCGCGACATTTACCGGAGTGGTTCTTCTTGCAATTGTTGCAACGAGCTACCACTGAGGTTTGTGACCTCGCGCCTTGCCCACTCGGGCCTTGGTTCCCCCTATATGGTGGCGGTGGTGCCCGGAAAGATCCTCCCCCGTGGTTCCCCTTTTTGTTGGAACCTTGGGAGCCATGACTCTCCCACTTTCTCTTTTTCGCCTCCTCGGCGTCTCTCTTCTTCCTTTCTTCCCATTGCTTCTCTCCTTTCAACCCTTGGTCAACCACTTGGGCAAACGTCATGTTAGGCAATTGTGTTGCCCTGTCACGTATCTCCAAGTCTAGAGCATCCCAGAAGTGGTTCACCATCCGGTTCTCGTCGCAAGCATACTCAGGTATGTAATCGGCAAGATCCCTGAACTTGTACTCAAGTTCCCTCACCGTCATGTTACCCCCTTGGGTTAGAAGGGTGTATTCCCTCACTTTCTTGTTCACCTCAAAGTCCGAGTAATATTGGGCAAAGAATTCCTGTCGGAAATCCTCCCAAGTGACAGTCTCGCCATATTTGCCTTTGGTCCCATCCCACCACTTGGATGCCATACCTTCAAGCAATCTCACCGCAACCCTTAGTTTATATTCGGGGGTGAGTTGCATGTCCAGGGCTGCCTCATTCAGCCGCTTAATCCATTGTGCCGAAACGGAGATGTCACCCGTCCCATCGAACGGTTTGCACCCCAAGTCTCGTGCCTCTTTGATGTATTTGGAGATCCTTATGATTGGACCTCCATCACCCCGACCCCCATGTGGTTCAGTGTGGGCCCTAGAGTCGCCATGGCTTCTCCCTCTTGAAGCCCCGCCCGAAGGTTGCCCAGCCCGGCGCCTTCGGCGTTCCCTCCTCTCCTCACGCTCACGGTGGTACTGTTGAAGTAGTGCTTCAATCCGTGCTAAGGAGCCATTTTCCTCCTCATCACTTACATCATCATCATCCCCTTCATAAGGGGTCTCAACCGGTTCAGTTTCCGGTCGATAGGTCGAGTCCTCATAGGACCAGTAGGTTTCACTTTCCGTGTCGACATGACCGTCACTCACGGTCTGTGATCGGCCTCCACGGCCAGCTCCTCTAGATGCCCTAGAGGTCCTTCGACTGCCCTGTCCAGTCTCCACTGGTACACGGCCAGTCGGGTTTCTCCTAGTAATCCTGCCACCACGGTCCATTTCTGAAAGAAATTTGGAAGGAGTCGTTAGACTCGTATCAAATGTCAATTGACGGATAGGTACTTAAGACACATTTTGGCTCGAGTCACCGCCATACCAATTGCTAAGGGTACCATCTTAACAATTAGAGACCTTGCAACCCAAGTACCAAAAGCTCTCCAAGTACAAAACTTCTATGCTCATGGTTTTCAAAATCTTTTCAAAAAGAGAATTTTGAGACTTCATTATGAAGTTTATGGACTAAGGCTCTGATACCAACTTAATTGTCACGCCCCGGACCTACCCGGACACGTCAACAACCCGCCGTACAATACGAATAGTCAACCGCAGTCCAACACATTCATATTATACAAGGCGTCATGAATATCATTCACACATATAACATCCATAAACAAACATAATAAGTAATTCATAACGCAGCGGAAAACATTGTTTAAAACAAAAGGCCACACCGGGCTATTCATGAGCACGCAGGCTCTATAGTAAAATATCCATGAGCAAATTTATTAATGTTTCAAATAGAATGGAGGAAGCACGAACCAAGTCTTCTCTCCGAGGAATCACTCGATCGACGAGCACAGGATGCAAGCTCTAGCCTCAACCTGAAATGGTGGTGGGACGCCCCCGAAGGGGTCAGTACTCTATACGGCTATAAAGTACTGGTGTGGCAGGCATCTAATAGATATACAACAAGTATTTCAAACACAAGACCCTCAAGTAGGGTGATAGTACATTATGATTGTAACCCTAAGTTACCCCGTTTAAAAATATACTTACTTTATATAAAAGTCAAGTAGTCGGCCCGTGGGCCCGTTTTCATTTGGAAATCACCATTCCCAACCCCGTGGCTATAAGCCACGACAACTCCTAGAGTCCAACCCTAGTACATGACCTTGTATTCTAGAGCTCGGCTCTACTACATCACCATACAATTCATATACCCCGGGTCAATTTCCTTACCTTGCGTTCTAGAGCTCGGCTCTATTACATCACCACGCAAGTCCTAGAGCTCGGCTCTAGCTATACAATACATAGACTCCAAGTCTACACCTTACATGCATTCTAGAGCTCGGCTCTATTACATCACCATGCATTAAGGTCCAATTCTCAAGCAACCCTATGCCTAGAATTGACATATCATTAAACTACTTTGGGTCATCCTTAAAGACTTCCCATAACTTAACCTTAGTTCCAAACTAAGTTATTATATACACTTGAACTATATTCAAGTACCTTTCATACAATCCAATCCCTAGGATCAATTTAATCAACAAGTTCCAATAATCACTAACTAGTATTTCAATACTATTAAGATTATTGTTATCATACCATTATCCTCATTATTTGTAATTCTCTACATATTTATAATTATGTAGCAGCAACTTAAGTATTCAATCTCAATACACAAATATTCATTTATGTATCCACATAATTCATACATGAGCAAAATGCCCATTTTCACAAAATAGTTCATTTATACCCATTTAATCTCATATTATTCATACCTTCTCAAATCATTTCAAATTTCATTCCTTGGCAACTATATCAATATTTCATCAATATATAATCATCATAATCCATGAAAAATCATGATTTAAGCATTTAGGTAATCTCATGCTTAACCTACAAGTTGTAAGCAATTAGATGTCAATCCTCACCTCAATTGAGCTTTAAACTTTCCCTTCTTGGTCCAATGGTCAAAGCTTTGGTCAAGGTGGATTTGGAACTGATTCCTTGCTCAAATATGAGTGTTAAACAGCCTCCTCAAAGTGCTAGTTCAACCCTTAATCGTTGATACGAAAACAGCCCCTAGAACGGGTGTTTCCCGGTCAACTCGTTTCCTAGTTTTTCCAAGATTTGTTCTAGGTTAGTATCTAACCTTTACATCAATAAAATAACTTTATAAGGACATATTATACACTTGGATTAGTGTATGATAGTCCCACCAATCGTTCATATCATTTGGAAAATGAAAAGTAAAGTTTTGGGGCTAAAACTCACTTTTAGAAGATCAAATCCTCTCCTGCGAGGTTGTGTTTTGCTCGGACGATTTGGAAGCCTTCCACAACTCCGATTCCTGCAAACCAGACCTTCACGGATTCCTCGTCTTGAGAGCTTTCTGTGGGTATCTCACACGCCTTAATTGGATTTGTAAAACTCGAGATATCGACCAAACAGTCTCAGCACTCCCACAGCTCGAGTTCACAGACCACTGCTCGTTCCAGATCGATTTTTGGATGATTGCTCTCTCTACTCGAACAAAGGCCACTCAATTATGAAACTACACTTCAAAGGCTATCCAAGGACACCTTATACACCTCATTTGGACGAGTACAACTCTCAAAATGAAGGGAGACAAAACACACCCATGATTTGTGCGGAAATAGACAAGGTGGGTCTCAAGGTTGATTCCAATCAAGTCTTGTGCAGCCCTCCTCCAGCTTGTGCGGCCAAGGTAAGTCTCCTCACTTATTTTTCTTGTTTTGCAGGTACTATAATCATGTGGAGTGGTTCCCAATTGATCCCAATTAATTTGGGGTCCAAATTATCTACCAATACTTCCAAAAATGGGGGAAATGGGTCCTATTGTTTTATCTTTGTCAAAAGATGTCTTTTTGCACTCATCCTAATTTATTTAGAACAAGTCAACTTCCTAAATCACATTATTGATCTCCAATATGTGTAGGATCATCCCAATAATTTACATGATGAAAATTATAAAAGAATACGGGTTTGAACAATACAATATTCAATCGCGTACTTCGTAAAATATTAATCGTTTCTTCCATTGCTTTGAAATCGGAAATTCAATACATCACTTTTGAATTTTTAAATCGAATTTTCAAGGACGTTCGGGTGCGGTGTCACATCAGATGCCCTGAGGACGCTCGGCCTCAGTTACCTTGTCCTAACAAGGGTCACCTGGCGCGCTAGAACCTTCAGGTAAACGCACGAATAGGCCGTACAGATTCTAGTCCTTGCACGTGTCAGAACCCAGGACCTAAGACTGGGAAAACGCTCGTCCACGACCCTTGGCGGGAGACCAAGATATTGGCGGGAGACGCATTTAATACGGTAGATTTGGTGGTTGGGAAGCTAGCCATCCACAGTCCTCCACGTCAGCAACACTACCTACGCCTTGGTAGTATAAATAGTACTACCTCCGTCCCACTAACATTGGGACGGAAGAAGGTGGCACAATTATTAAGACAAGTGAGTTTATGTGGTTGATATTGAATTGATAAAGTAAAAATAAAGTAAGAATGATTTAGAGTCACGCAAACTTTACCAAATATGGTATGAGACAATCTTAGTGGGATTTTACGAAAAGGTAAAATGAGTCAATCTTACGGGACAGAGGGAGTAGCATTTATTTAATTGTAAAGGGTTGGCAACTTATTATCCTTAGCAAATGGCAATTATCTAGCTCTTCTTTATTGAGTTAGACGGACAGCATCGGGGCTTTTAGTTGAAGTGTGTTGTATGCGGACCCTTATTGTCATTTAATAATATACGGCCCACTTACTGCTTCTTATTTGACCCATCTTACTTGCTTGCATCCCATATCTACCGAACTCTCCTCTCAAAATCATAGGGAAATGTGTTGGACCCTCGAGTCGAAGGAATAAACTTCAACAAGAATGATGAAGAAATTAAAAACGAAGATGGTGAAGGGAAGAAGGGAGGCGCGAAAGAAAATTGGGTAGAGAATGGATAGAGAGAAGGGAAAGATGAGAACCACTACGTAACATATAATGTTATCTTTTTCTAATATTGTTATTTAATCTAAAATAAAAGGGAAAAGTGTCAAATAGGCCCCCTACTAATACGGAAAAGTCAATGAAGTCCCCGAACTCAAAAAACACATAATTAAACCCACGAACTATAAAAAACGGGGCAAAACAGTCCTTTTAGCATGTAATTAACCGATTCCAGGTAAACCTTTACACGTGGCGACAGCCGAAAGGTGGCCACAAATGGCGACACGTGGCGACACGTGTGCGACACGTGGACTAATGGAACCGGGAACCGGTTAATTACATGCTAAAAGGGCTGTTTTGCCTCGTTTTTTTATAGTTCATGGGTTTAATTGAGTGTTTTTTGAGTTCGGGGGCTTAATTGACTTTTCGTATTAGTAGGGGGCTATTTGACACTTTCCCAAAATAAAATGTTTCATTTGTTCTTATTTAGTTGTAATAATTTGTGTTTATCTTTGTAAACAATGTTGATTTTATATGAGTATTAAGAAGAGAAATACCAATGGTGATTGTGAATTACTCCGTATTTTATACGATCAAACGTTTGAATAAAGTAAATTTCTATATGAAATAATCACAATGTACCAATTATAAATTCTTACGTAGTATTTGTTAAGTAATGAATATCATCATCAAATAATATATATACGTATATTTTAGTCTATATTAGTTTTCCATCATATTTTATTGGGTTTTTTACGAGAATATTACTAAAATAAAACTTATTTACATAAATATGACTATTCATTACTACAACGTAGTGCTGTGGTAACTAAAGTTCAAAACTTGAACATGAATTATTATGATTTCATTACTACTCTAGTAATGAATCATATTTTTGTAAACTATCTTTATTTTGGTCATATTTATGATCGCTCGTCATATTTTTTAAGATGCACTTCACTTATTGGGTTTTTCTAAAAATTATGAATACTATACTGCCATTAAATTCCATTCACTTTTTACTTCCTAACTTTATCTTTTTACAATCACCATTTCACCTTCACCAAAATCAAATAGTTGATCCGTATTTTAAAGTTTGATACACTTTCTTATTTAGGATGTATTTATAAGTTTGCATTTTCTCTTTTTGGTATTTTTTTCCTTTAAAAAATACTCAATTACATTTAATTTTTCTACCTTTTACTTTCTTTTTCCTACTTTTCTCTCTTATCTTCTGCTTTTTCTACGCTATTCATTACCCACATTATTTTTCCCTTAAATATTGTGTCAAAGTCTAATTAATGTGATCTTTTAAATACGAAGAGCAACTTATACTGTGTTTTTTTCCCAAAAAATGTTTTTATCGTCAAATCCAACGAATATATTAAATCAAAATAACGTTCGTCACATGGCTGATAATACAATCAAGGAAGAAGAAGTAAATAAAGAGATAAAAAGTCTTATGTCTGTCGTCCACCCTCGAACCAGACTTAGAATATATCAACTCTGTAAAAACAATAATATTCGTTGATCTTGTAATGGGCTTAACTGAGCCTATGACTAGCAAACCAGACTTCTCAACACCTGATTTAAAATCTAGAATCTCTCTGTTATGAAATAAGAACATGTCCAAACAACATGTAATTTGAAAGAAAACATAAACAGAATAAAACGGAATTAAAACAGAGTTCACTCATCTTCTTCCAAACTCTGGTCTTGCTTGCACTCCATGGCGGCGGCTCGGGAGGGGGACGCGCCCGCCGCTCACCCGCCTCAATAGTCATGCTTTTGTATTGAATGACGATATCCTCTTTTGACATCCCTTGCTGCTGAATCGAAACCATACTCCGGCTTAAAACCATACGTAAGCAAATTGCAACTTCGGCTTCTTCAAAAACCGTGATAGGACTACAAACGAGCTCGAAACACTGCTCCTTCCAAGCCAGGAAAAACAGAAAGAAACGAACATCAGCGCCGTGATCAAATTGATCACCGCCGGACAATCCAAGCTAAGCGTTGCCTTGCGGCAACCCTAGAGACAGAAAAAGATATTGACGATGATCCTAAACCCCAAGCAAATGACGGCCGCTCAAATTAGAAGCCTACTGCCGCACAATCTGATGCAAGAAGAGAAGTGACGATCCGCACATCTCAGAACGGTTGCATCATCATCATAAGCCGATAAATCCAAAATAATGTTAAATATTTACGAAATTGGGATTGGATTAAAAGTATTTTCCATAATACTGATGGAGCAAAACTGGCTTTAAGAGAAGCGTCACTTAAAATGACGACTAATTCAAAAGATAAAACGTCACTAGTAGCGAGAGAAAAGCATCTTTGGTCCCACCAAAAGTATAAACTCATGTTTTTAAAAGCACTACAACTTTTTTATTTGTACTCCGATTGTTACAAAAATATATCAAAATTCATAATTTTTTTTATTATCTTTCATACGACACCAAAATTGCATATATAAAAATAAAAATAATTTAACACTATAAAAACTTTTGTTTTTAAAGTGTTGTAGCTTTTTATTTAGAATTTTTTCCTACAATATTACTAATAAAAAACCTATGGAATAATTCTAGATTTTTTTACGGTTGTTTGATCGACAATCTGGTCCGGCGGTTTTGGTCTTCCTTGCGTACAATTCGAGGTTTTGTTTTGGTGTATTAGAGGGATTTACTTCAAAGGAAGAGTGGTATTGTTCATAGAATTCAAGCTCGAAGTTGTCCCATGTGATGACTCCATTGTATTTCCCCTTGACCCCATCCCACCATGTTGAAGCCAATCCCTCCAACATTCTAATGACTACCCTCATCTTAAGGTTAGGCGTCAATTGCATATTGTCGGGAGCTTGATTAATTGGAATTGTAGAGAGTGGGGCGATCTTGCAACTGTCCAGATTTTGAGTGAGGTAACCAAAGAGTGGAAGCTGGTGGTAACCAAAGAGTGGAAGCTGGTGGCAATATTCCGGATGAAAACTAAGGCGGGTAGGCGGCGAGTAGAGGAGATTATGGGAAGGTTGGATTTTTTTAGACAAGATACGCGGTGGAGAGCCAAGGGTTCATTGGGGTCTGGCATGACCTTATTCTGAAGAGATGATCTCCAAGTAGATACGAAGTATTCAAACCAACTTTTAGATGGGATACCTGAGCGTGGCTGAAGAACTGAAGGGAGGCATGGTCGTTGTTACGGTCATTGGTTAGCCGGAACAATCTGTCGTGGCTTGTTATTAGGGATTTTAAAGACATTATGTTAGCTAGTGAAAACGGGGGGCACCTCAGCCATAGTGGCAGGTGCGCAAATTTGAAAAGGTGGAGGCCATACTTTGATACATTGTTCAACGGGAATACAGTGCAAGCCTGCAAGGTAATAATGATCTTGATATACCAAATTGTATGGTAAATCGGGATTTTTAAGAAGGATCCAAATGTCAGAAGTTAAAGAATGTTTGAGAGACTAGGGAGGAAGAAAGTTGTGGGTCCAAATGTCATACCAATCGAGGCCTAGAGAACTTTGGGAGAGAGATGCATCAAGTGGCTAACATGTTTATTCAACATGATATGGAGAAACAACATAATGTCATGAGTTGGCGGAAGAGTACCCTTATTA